AGGAAATCTGTGAAAGATAATTTTGCAAAACCTTCAAGATAAATTCGCAAAAAATTGAAACATGGAGATATAAGTATTATAACGACTAATCATTTAATCCTATGCGGCATAATATACATCGAGCTTTCTTCCATCAAACCTCTTCGTGGTGTCTCCTGGGCAACGCTAAGAGGCCGAAATTATTCATCCATACTTGGGAATCACTTCATACCTGCCTTAAATGAACCCGGGAATAAACTAATACATGAATGAAGTCTCGGGAATCAATTCACCAATACTGTTTCTTGAATAATGCATAACCCTATAGTGTATTTTTACACACAAAAGGTTTTCTATAAATCTTTTTCCAACATTATAATAAATACAAGTATTGTTTTTGTTTATCATAATTTCAATCTTTATAAACCTTTTCTACTCACAGTAAACAAAAACAAATCGGTCGATAAACAACAATAAGTATTCCGTAGACAATGTTTAATACCACATCGGAATATTCAACGTATAAGATGGTTTATGTTTTACAAATCTAAAGGGTTGTTATTTGAATTTTAAACTACCTATGCTTTAATAGTTATGCATTTTCTTATTAATTAACACTAATTTTTAGTTAAAATAAAAAACATCACTATAACTATTTTGTATATAGTCTTCTATCTATATTATACTCAAGTAAATAGACCTAACAGATTAATTGGTAGTAAATTGATTGCAGCGTTCACATATTTTGAATGTTTGAAATACATATTTACTCTAACCGCGTTAACTCTATAACCAATAATTATACTTTATTCTTCGATTATTAACATGTTAATAATATTATTTTCTAACACTATCGCATTGAATGTATTTAATGCGATAGTATTAGAAAATATTGCAAAATATTTTATTTAATAATTTATATTAAAATAATGCGATAGTGTTGTTGTGTTAATTTTAGTCATACGTATTTTTTTATTTAAAACTTCGTCATGCAATATATGCAAATACTTGTGTTAACAGTTAATGCATGCGAATATTAACGCTCAGCTGTGTGTGAAGAAATCGCATTTTTTAACACTTTAACATAGTTAGTATTAAATATATATTACCTGTCAATAATTCAAAATATAATACCAAACTGCTGTATAAGGTGAATAGAAGACTGAATAAGTTACTAACAATAATTTATGCGTGGAATATCGATTGCATTATTCATTGAATATTATTTACAATATTAAGTATAGACTTTTAATTGTCTATGAGATAAATTTAAAATTTCTCCTGAAATGCGCGTATTTTTTCAAATTTTTCAATTTGAAACACTTAGTATAAAATAATGGTGAATTTTATTTTATTTCCAAAATTATATATTATATTTAAATTAAACCTATCAATTTAATTAAAAAACGAAAATTGAATAAGATCATTCGTTATACTAGATGCATTACATTATTATAATAAAATAACAGTTGTATGAGATACATTTTATCCTGAAAAATTGTGGTTCACTTATTATGTTTTGGGAAATCTAATAAAACCGATAACGTGAAGCTTTTAAACAAAACATACTTGCTCGATAGATACATCATGTACTTACGGGTGAACGTTGTTTATATTTTATAAACAAACACTTGATGAAATATGACTCATTTTATCGCCAAACATTGTACGTCGAATAGTTTTGTAAATAATAAAAATAAATATCACATGATGCGGTAATAAACTAATATTAATTTCGCTTCGCTCTCCAACAATAAGTTCCCATTTGAATATTATAATCATACACTCAAATGCAATGTAGTTAAAACTAAATAATAATTATGTGTACTATTTTAATATAATAGTATCATAAAATAAAACACAATAAATTGTAATAAATGTTCAACGCGATAATAAGTAAAACACGTTTAAAAATAAACCAATACTACGAATTACTCATAATTAACATGCATACATATGTGTTTGACTTAATATAACATTAAGTTATGATGCAATATCCTACAGTTCACTACGTATTAATTTAAATTGAGATGTATAAGAATATATCTACATCACGTGCATTCGAGTTAAATTAATATTATATATGCTTCACTCATATGTCACCGCAAAAATTGGTTAATTTTCAATCTTATCGAATTTTTTTTTCTCGTATCGAGTTTATATATTATAAACCATCAACGACCAGATAGCGACGTTATTTGTACACTAGGTAGTACCTAGTAGGTACGATAAAAAACAGCCATAGACTTTACGCACCAATTACATTATGATCTAATCTTAAACGTTTTCTAGGAAATGATAGAAACACATGTAAACAATATTATAATAAGTATATACGAGTATTAAACGAATGGCGTAATATAAACCTAACATTTTAATTTTTTTCCACTCCGCGATTTAATCTTGGATGTTTTCAAAAGTAATAGTAAGAAGACCAAATATGATATAACGATTCGAACTCTTGTTGAAATATAAGTCAACTATATAACTTATTAATAATTACAGTGATAATGAATTACATAATTAACATTTGCTTTCTACGTATATCGCTCTTATTTGTTGTTCATCTCCTACTTGGCTTTTCAAAAACAACATTTGACATCAAACGATACCAAATTCATGTATTGAAATAACTTTCACTCATGAATTTACGGCGGACACTACTAAAATTTTTGAACAAACCAAAAGAAAAAGTTCTATTCAAAGTTTAAGTTATATTTAAAATGGGTTTATCTAAAGATACGTGATATACTCGTATAAGCGCGATGTATTTATAATACGAGTAATAATGCCTTTAATGGTTTTTTTTTTTTCAGTCGCGGTCGCTAGTCTATTTCGTTTCTTACAAAATTAATATAATTCTCACTTTAACTTTTCTACACATTATACACTATATTTCGCATAGTTTTGTTAAATGTTTAACGACAACTTTTTCAAGATCCGATCTTTTATCTTTGATGGATCCATTCTTTAATTTTTGAGTACGTAAATAGGTTAAATGGACAGAATGGAGTCAATTTACAAGTTTTAACAGTTGCTTTGAATGCAAACTCAATCATTTTTTACATTTTCAGTTCACTTCCTACTTAGCCAATGTAATGCACCATAGCCAGACTTACGAATTACCGGCGACACTTTTGTGTCAGACGAATGCAGCAATTACCTACTTACGCGAACATGTATTCCGATGGAATAATAAAACTCTTTGCCACGTCCACGCTACATGTTCTACGTTATATATTATGATTATTAACGTCCTCAAAGTGATTTTTTAGATAGGTTGATTTCCTGTAGACTTTAACGTGTAGGAAATATCTCTTAAAGCACCAGGTGCAATTTCATTCCAAAGCCTCCGTAATATCTATAAGCGTCGCCGGTTCTCAATAAATTCTAATTGGAAAATGAACGACCAAGCTCTGTTTGTTTCCGTTCTAATCGTGGTCTAATATATAATACGAGTATTAGATTTGATAGGATTACCTGTAATACACATATGTATAGGTGGTGATACGTTGCGTAAGACAAATCGATTACTAGAAAACAATTAAAGCGTGTTCAACTATAAGAAAAAATTATGATTTTTTATTTTTTTTAAATTTTTTTTTCGTGAAAACTTCATAAGCTTACTTTTATATAATTTTCGCAATCATTGATTAATATTTTTTCGATGATTACCAAAAAAATATAATGTCTAGTACATTTCGAAAATATTTATTTTCCTTCAAAACGAAAAACGACAGATTGATAAAAACCTATTCAGTATTACTATTCATTTCTTATATCATTGTATTATTTTAAAAAAGTTTTGTCAATAAAAAAAACTAACTGTTTTAAATGTAACTCCTACAAAGACTAGCCTGTGGTATACTCGACGATGCTGACGGTTTGCAGTAGTATCCGTCTGAACGGTATATGAACATTAAAAGGACAACCTCTAATAAAGTCTAAACGAATTAAATGCTCGTTACTGCTCGTTAAATGCTTCTTACTCACTGCTCATTTATACTGATACGACTTATTTCGAAAAACGATTTGACTTTATAATATTATCCTGCACAACAATTGATCTCGTTAGTTACAAAACCGTTATACGTGCGTTGTATAAGTAAATCAGTGTTATTTGTTACAGTTGAGGTAAACACATTTGTTTTCAATTACGTGAATGTACCCAGCCGTTATTAATCATCTAAAATCTTGTTATTTAGTCGATCGTTGGCACGACAAAGTTCGTGCTCAGTGCTCAAATTATTATTCAATGGGTGTATCTGTCAACTACATAACATACCTTCGCGATTGGCTCGCAATCCACCCGCTTCTTCTGCAAGTTGTAGAGACCAAATTAGTCTGTTTAAGGGGTATCATTGTTTGTAATTAGACATTAGTGCGATACAGTAAGGAACAATTATTTTAAATATTATGATATCGTATATGCTTATTCTAAATTGGTATCAAGTGATGAACAAATCTAGTGGGTAGGATATGGTTGTAGTGACGAGAAATGTGATAACGGAAAATTTACTGTTGGGGAGTCCCACCCACTCCTATGTTAAAAAATCGACAGTCATATTTTGCTTCTACTTCTCATGTTACAGAATCAGTATTTTTATACTACTACTATTACGCATTGTAACTGATATTAGATTTAAACCAGTGCTCGAAATGGCTCAAGATAAGTAGAGGGATGCCATACAATTCAGATTTCCTGATATCATCATAACATTCTTCACACCTTGTGTACCTATAATATTTATTTTTTTTTATAGTTCACATAAAGTATATTATCTTAGTCCGTGGCTCTAAATACGGATATAATACGGGTTGTGATCGGCTTTTTTTGGCCCTGATATCTCTATTACGCATGCGTCATAGCCTTAGTTAAAAATTGTAAACAAAATACGCACACGCACAGTGTTGATATTGAGGCCAATTATTCGTGAACGCTTCGCGATTATATTCCATATTCTCTGCCCAATGTACAATAATATAATCTAAGATCATCATTATTTACACACATGTTGCAGAGTTCTACGACTACGACGGCAGAGGCAACGATCACGATGGTTATGGACAATTTGACGTCGCAGAACGCACTCCAAAAACGATATTCAAACACCGATCTGATGGATAAACTTTTGGAAGACATATACAGGGTGGGCTCAAGTAGTGGGGCGTCCGAGTCATCGACGGACCAGACGAACTGGAGTGACGGTGGTCGAAACACGATCACATCCAGTTGCAAGGGATGGTCCAAAAGACTAGCGAGAAAAAGTAAATACTATCCCAACCGCTACTAGTGGCGAGACCAAGGAGTTTTCTAACGTAACAATTCCCGACATACAAATAAGCGCTCCGAAAATTCCAAAACTTGTTTTTAGATTTATCAATTTTAAACACGATTCTATAACTACAAAATAGACAGCATTTTATTCACTACATTTTTTTGAAATATTATAACACCCTAAATTGTTGTTTGGGTATCATCGCGTCCTAGACTCCCTCTGCGTGATCATCGCGTACACAAAATATTAATATTATTACACCCACCTGCCGCTTACTGAACAATATAATTTATCGTTCGTATAAATACAGTGTGAGCAGAAAAGATATATAATAATATTTATTAAACGTACACAATATATATTGTGTATATGTGTACATAATATATAGCACATACGATATATGTTCCGTATTGATTTCCCCACCACCTTGCACATGTATTCACACCGTTACAATGACAGATATAACTTTATGTTTATATGTACGAGGCAAATATATATTTACAAACTTCCCTATAGATATATTAAAATATATATTCGCATAGTGTTTTTTAAATGAATATGTAATATTATGGTTCCGACGCGGCCCACGTTACATATTTAATTTACATACACATATGTACGCTATACAATATACAGTATACATACATATGTTTATTGATCATGCATGCAATTAGAGTTTTATCCTTAAAATTCATTATTTCTGTTGACTTATGTTTTTATGAATTATTTTATTTAATTATGCTTTTACCTGTTTACTCTCAAATAATTTAATACATTTTTTTAAATTTTTTTTGAACGGCAATATACATTTTAAAATTTAATATTCAGAAGTAGTAATTTTTGCGGGTATTTAAAGTTTAGATCAGCGGAATAGTGCATCGTAATTTCACGAGATACTAACCTAACATACCTATACGTCAAAGTAGAAGCTTAAAAACAATATATGATACTTTAAAATTGTAAAAAATGTAATCAATGATGATTTTTACGGTAAAAATTTAAATTATAATACAAAGCTTATTGCAAAAAGTTCTATGTAAACATGTAATAGTTGAATAAAATTTTTTTCTCGAAAACGGTTCACCGAAAAAAAGATAGAATAGAACCACCCTAAGTAATCAGTTTTACTAATGCTATACGAGGATACCGTGGGACGAGTTACGATAATGGAGTGCTGATTGTGAGTTAATTCTATTCACCGCCGGTTAGCTACATTTAGATAATATTGTGCACGTTAAGCCACATGCACTTAATATTAAGTTGTGGATATACTACAGTACTTGCGTATACATTTGTGATATAATCGTATCATTACGAGTATTTGTATAATATATGCATTCATACAAGATGTCTGACATAAATGCTAACCATGCTTATGTTAATAAACTAACCTAACTTGTAATACGATTTAACACGTACATGACTGTTTCATATACGTTTTAATTTCTAGATATTGTATTTGTGTGTGTGTGTGTGTGTGTGTGTGTGTGTGTGTGTGTGTGTGTGT